ATGTCCGCCAGCGCCCCCTGCCGTCCTCTGAACGCCCCCTGGGGGGCGGTACCGCCCACGTTGAGAACCGCTACTCTGGATACAGGCTTACCAAGGGTTAAAATGTGGCCCAATAACATCTGGCTTTGCACAAGAAGAAACTACAACCTTAAGACTTTTTCTTGGTTCTAGAGCTGTACTGGTGCAAATTATAGACTAGGCATTGAGCAACTTGCTGCCTCTCATAATAAAGGTTAAATGGTACCTAAAGACCAAATACAGCTTTGTATTATCACTACATATGGTTCAGATGTTTAGGCCCTGAATGCAGCAGAGCCAGAATGAAGACTGGCAGGTGGTACGACCACTAATCTTTGATAAGCACAAAACTAAACAAACTGACTGCCAAGGAAAAATGTGCAGAAGCTGACTTGGCATGGTGGGTAAAAAACCACCAGACAGAAAGGAGGAACAAAGAGAATCTGGCACTGAACAAAGAAAAACAAAAAACTTGCATCATGAGGGAGCACATGAGCCATGAAGATCAAGTTGTTGATCAGAGACTGAGAGCAGGAGAGACAGTTATGCAGAACACTGACTGGACAAAGAGCAGAAACATTCAACAGGAGCTTAAAAAACCCAGATTAACTCAACAAAGACAAGAATTCAACAAAGCAGAGAGAAAAATTGATCTGAAATCAAAACCTAGCCAAGCTGTTGCCTTTCCTCTTTGTGTGTTACCATCCTGTTGTCTGAGCAAACAGTAAAAGAAGTCACAACCTCTAAATTTATTTATTATTCTTCCTTTGCTCTTGTTCTTTCATCTTAATCTCTTATCTAAACCCGCCCATCCGACAGTTTAAACACCATCCCTCCATCTTCTTCTCTGATCTGGATTCCAGGGGAACCACTTTTACGTCTCATTCCTTCACTCTGCAAATATTACACTCCTTTCTTTAACATTTCTGTCCTTAACTCTGATACACACCAGTGTATCAAGGACAGATAACCTTGTATCTGAAGTGCTAAGAGTGAGAGCTGGAGGACGGACAAAGAAATCATACTGAAACCATTAAGGGATTTTCAGATTTCCCTCAAACCCAATTCTTTTTCTCATGTCTCTAAGACACTTGAAGGCACAGCAGCATTAACCCTTCTTTAGCGGACTTGATGGGGACATTTATTTTACGCTTTTGTTTAAGTGTGGGTTTGAGTCCCACTTTGCCTTTCCCCAGGCAGGCATGTTGTATTTGTTCCCTGTGTGTTTGTGCTTGTTTCTCTGAGTCACCTTGTAGCCTTGGATGAGTCCATTCTGGGTCTCCAGGGGCGGCATGTCCCAGGTCACTTCCAGGGTGGAGGGAGACACGGCTGACACCTTGATCGACTGAGGCGCCACCGAAGGAGCTGCAGCCGGAGAGACGAGAGGTGCTGGTTACCGTGTGTGAGCAGCTGCATGTTAAAAGAGCGGGAAGTGAGGAAAATATGCTCTACCCTTCTAATTAGAATGAGCCTCAGGCAGGACCTTGTTACACCACTGTACTGCACATAAGAATGAACACTGAGCTGTGTGCACCTGAGGCTGGAAGACAAGTCCATATCACCTGATTTCATCATTCCCCTCCAGGCTTTTCTGGCTCCCCCTCCTGATACGCTCCCCTATCCTCACCTTTTACTCCTCACTATGTGGTACGTATGGCCTACTAAACTCTGCAAACACACTCACACAGCACACTAACAAACACACACATACACATGCACGGGTGATATAAATGCAGTGCTGCACTGCAAGTGGAAGTTTTTCTAAAACAATGTGGAATTCTATTTACCTCTATTCTTGTTTGTAGTTTACAAATGTCTTGCTGTATCAGGTGTGTGTTTGTTTGTGTGTCTTTGTAATTGTGGGTTGAATGACAAAGTAAGCTGGCTGTATTAGGACTCCTGCTTTGACTTTTCAGTGCAAGTAAAAGAGGTACAACCTTCACTATAAAATAGTTGGCCTTGTGTATTTCATGATGGATACACATGGATGCTCCCTATTAGAGAACCCAACAGAGACTTTAAAATATATTTTTACTGAAGCAAGGTGGGGGGACAGGACAAAGCCCACTAGAAAGAAAACAAAAATGTCTAAAACTCCAATAAAATTAAAAATCTTTTTAACTCAAAGTGCATTTGGTTCCTCAGTATCTTTGAACAACTTCACACAGTTACATAAAAGGTTGTTGATGAAATCTTAAAAGCTATCAAAGCTCAGAACTGAGCATTTGCACTGGCTGAAAACAATTTTTTTCCCTTTTTCGTCTATTATTTCAACGTTTTAGCTTTGTCACTGCAACTTTAAGCAAAAGATGACTTTCTGTTATTCCTTCAGTCAAACAGACTTGTGCTAACATCATGCTGTTGAAATGCTGTCATTTTACCCAAATGCTCTGACTTTACAGCAGAGGTAAACATTTACTTTTCAAGGAGATAATACTCTAAAGCATACTAGCAATTAGTTCAGAATACCTTAAGTAGCCTTCATAATGAATTACAGTAATAAAAAATAAAAGGCAACAGGTTTTTAATTTGACCTGAGCTGGTGTCTGTAACTAAACCTAGCAGAAAAACTCTTCAGAATGCTAATACAGACTATGCCTGATGCTCCATTCAACCTTCAGGAGTCTGATTGTTTCTACTCTGCAAACAGTTGGAGGTAATTTAGAGCAATGCTTGTAGAATAATTTCTAAGAAAACTCAAGGTTACCTGGAAATGAAATATCCTTGTCCTAAAGAAAGAAATGGTGTACATAGCTTGTTATAGAATATGATAAAAACATAAATGTGTAAAAATTCAAAAGTCTGAAATTCCTTTTTAGCACTGAAGGCATTCACATATCTCTACTGAGAAACGGAAATATAGAAGTTGACCTGGAAAAATCACTTTCTTCTGTCATATCTTACAATTATAAATATGTTTCATGGTTGTTTCTTTTCACCTACCGGCCTCTCCAACAGACACCTCAACCGGAGCGGATGGACGGCTCTCACCAATGATGTTGTAGCTCGTCATCACAATATGATAATGTTTGAACTTCTTTAGTTCTGTAAGCAAATATCAAATCTTTTCAAAACATTTCTATTATACTAAACATGAAAACATACATCTTCAGTCAGAAGTTTACATCTGACATAAATGTCAAAATAATGTCATAATAATTGTACAGTACATAACTGATGATTTATGTATAATTTTTTTCACCCTGTGTAGACTAGAGAACATCCCCAATGAAGTCACACTTTTGGACACAGTTCTAGTTATCTCGTTAAAAGAGAATATGACATTTATAACCATAATTTGTGTAACAGTGTAAAGACTTTGGCTTTATGTTGGTCGACTTTGTAACTTACGTGTCAGCTCAAACTCTGTGAGTGAGGCACTGCTGACTGTCTTGAAGGTGCTCTTGGCTTTGGAAGAGTGAAAGAAAAACAAATGGAGAGGAAATCAATTGTGCTTCGAGTCCAACAACAAACCACTCAATTATAATAGGATTTAATAGAATCACTGTGTTGAAGAGCAAAACATTCAAAGACATTTTTGCTTCAGTATTGTTGCAGGACTCTACACTTTGGAGTGGGTAGAAATTTTTCTACCACTCTACCTACAGACACAGATGCTGTTGAGTTTGAGGAGTAGAGAGGAGAAAAAAATCGTTACCCAAAAATAGATGAAAAATAGATGAACATATGTTTACAATGCAAATAAAAACATTTATCAAAGTTGAAAATTATCATTTGAACAAGGCTCTCTGAATTAGTGGCAGTTCATTCAAAGTTTGTCAACACCAGGGAATCCTGACATCATGAGGGTCCAAACCAACCAATGAGAACACAACTGATGGCAACACAGGAGCTAGAAGATCATGCACATCACATTTAATATCACAGTTTGCAGGTTCACTTTTCCTTCTAAATTAAATAAAGGCAATATTGAATTACAAATGATTAAGAACTTTTGTAAAACTTTAATCTCTTCATTTGAAGCAGAATTGCACAAGACAGTTAACTTACACAAGTAAAATGCTTCGGTGAAAAGAACATTAAGTTAAAAACGCCAGTGCAGTGCATCAGGACTTTTAAAAATGTGGTTGACAGACAGTCTGACAATACTGCTGGAGCATGCATAACTTGTAAATGGTTTCGCTTCATGTAACTCAAATTGGTTGCAGCTTAAAATTCAGTCAATCAAACAGTAATATGACTAAATAACACAAATGTATCTGTCAAGGTTTAACTGTTACAATTGTTTCCAGTGAGTCATCCTGCTTTTTTCTGTTTGAGACTTTGAAGTGTTCAGAGTTTAACAAAAACTACATTAAGTTTTGTGACCATATTAGCAACAACAAAAATAATTCTGAGCTGTGGAGCTACACAGCTCACAAGCTAAAAATAGTAGACAATAACTTGTTGACATAACTTGCCCTTCACTGTTTCTAATTGGTTTATAGTATGATATGGGCCTAATATATGTCTGTCGCTGAACCAGGGGGAGACTTTCTGTGTTGCAGAGACTTTATTTTCCTAGAATGACAAGCTACTCAGAGTTTTTTTTAAAGGCACTGTTAAAAAATGAAGTTACACGTGGAATTGGTCACACTCTAAAGCCCTGAGATTCTCAGATTTGGTTGACCCTTTCTCAATTAGGCAAGAGGCCAACATGCAAAAAATAAAACATACAGATTGTTGAAAAGTTAAGTTAGAGGTGTTTGTGTACACCATGGAGTCATTTCTTCTCAAGTAGAGTTGATGCAACAGCTGGCTGACTCTATAAAAAGCAGATCTACTTACCTGTAATGAGGGCACTTGTGCTATGGTTTTTAGCTGTCTGGACTCGGGCATCACTGACAGTGGATCCATTTGCAGGGAGCTCCCTGTAATACAGCCTGTATCCAGTCAGGACTCCATTAATACTGTCTTCACTGGGGCGCTAGAAAACATGCAAACCGACATATACATTTCCATAGACATTAGTAATACAATGCTTCAAAGACAACTTGTGAGCCTATTATAATTTTTTCAACTGAGCTAGTTTTTTTGTCACAGACAGGAGAAAGGAAGGCCAGCAGAACTGCATTTGAGCTGTATTTTATTCATCATCCAATTTAAAAGGTTAGAGTATTGGTCTTGCAGTAACTTGCAAATGGGAAAGTGATGCTTCAATAAGTTTGGCACTCTCATAAAGGGTGATGAAATTGCTGGTGACTTTGTGTTTTCATTGCCTATTTCTGCTTTGACATAAGGCTACAAAGATGAGAAAAGACATTTACAGACAGAAGAGAAAGAGAGGCAAGCTGTAAAGTACTCAGAAGGGATCTACTGTCTTTTCCTCTTTCTCTATTTCCTCTGATGCTGGATTGACTGCCGAGGGCACCTTTCAACCTGTACCATATCGTCTGCTGGTATATAATCATTAAGAGCTGGACATTTCTCTCCTGGCTAAGACAGTCCATCCCTCTGTTCTTTTCTCCTTCCCTCTGTACTTAAAATTTATCCTCACTGCTCTTTGACATTTTCTGCTTTAATAAATAATGATAACCAAATTCACAGACACCAAACACGAAGCAAATTTATATACAATTAAAATATGACAAGCCTCATCTCTTAAAGTAAATGATTAACCTGATCTTTTAAGATATAGTATGTCGTGTTGAGATCTATGTTTAAAAAGGACATTTGTTATGTTCAAAGAAGATAAATACCTTCCACTGCACCATCACTGAGGTAGTAGTTGTTGGTTTCACTGAGAGGATCACTGGAGGCTCATTAGGAACTGGAAAGAAGACAGACAAAAAATGAACAGTTAATTGCTTCATACAGGCATCAGCTCCAACGCATCCAGATTTCTCTTCATTCTTTAAGCATTCCAACCCTGGTCCTTACCATCCTGTAGAGTAGTAACAGCATCTGTCTCCTTGCTGAGGACACTGTCTCCTACGTCATTAGTGGCCAGCATTCGAATCTTGTATGATGTGAAGGGCTTCAGCCTAAACAACCACAATCAGAATAAGCTTTATAAGCCAAAATGTGTGCACAAACAATACATTTCACTTTGGTTTCAAGCACTCATAGCGAGTGTAAGATGCAAACAGACACATCATTGTCAAATTCCAGTGGAAAAATATTAAGATTTCAAAGGGGCTGTTTAGAAGGCAGTCACCATTGCTTACAAGTGTCTTCAGTTCACACTTTGCATGTCACTAACATATTCAGGCAGTTTTAATGAGTCTAACTGAATGAGTAAATAATCTCACTTGAAACAGATTACTGTGTAGAGAAAATGCTAAAGGAAGAATTTGAAACATGGCTAAGACAAAAAAGGATTTATTGCAAGTTATGTAGTCAACACAATAGTTTACATTACAATAAGTCTCCACCACTACTAGTGAATTTCAGCATTTTAAATAAAACCAATACTTATAATATAAATAAACAAAACATAAATATCATATAAATCAAATTAGCATGAAACTATAGTACCTGAAACACCAACTTCAGCATCCAAGCATTTCTTTGGAGTTGTTATTGTAATGACAATTTCCTTATATATTACACAACTCCCCATTTATTCCATTTGCGAAAAATATAAAACAGACTTCTGTATTTTCCCCTAAAATAATTTGTTAAATCCATATCTTGTCTTGTTTATTGTAAGCTCAGTGTATCATTACACACCTTTCTGGGTCTTGGACAGTCCTGTGTGTCACCGTTCCAGTTATTTTGGTTTGTATAACTCAGCGGTCTCCAACTCCAGTCCTTGAGTGTCTCTGTCCTGCATCCCTGCTCCAGCCCACTTGAATCAATGAATGGCTAGCTTCCGTAAAACTTGCTACAGGGGAACTTGAGGACTGGAGTTGGAAAAGTCTTGTTGAACTTATTGCCCTGACTGCAGATGTGTGCAAGTTTAGGATTTAATAAAATTTCTTGTAGTCATTTCATGACTTATAATAACACAATTTGAAGAGTGGTGAAGAAAACTTAGCCTCTGTTTTACATTATTTCTATCCCCTAGGGAAACCAGATGCAATGGATAAAATGTTCCTCAATACTCTGATTAAAAAGCAAAATACTCCTCAAACAGATTTCAGTTGCATTTATTTTACAGAATCTGTCCCTGCGCCTTCTTAAAAATATATAATAATTATTATTATTCCTCTGTCTGGGCTCTTGTCTGTACTTAATGTGTGGACTACAATTCAATGCTAATGAAAATAAGTAACAAGGGAATTTATTTATCTCTATGATGAATGCCAGTAAATGTGGAGGGTGCAGTATGTGATTAAAGTTTGCTGTGTCTTGTAGGCAAATTTCCCAACATGAGATACTCTGAGCTTCTAAAAACAAGAGATCAAATAAAATGTGTAAGATACCATTTATGCATAAAAAATACGTACTCTTCCATAATTTATTGCCAGTCTTTTAATTTTGCTGGACATTATTTGCCTAATCCTTGAAGGCATTTCTTCAAGTCATAAAGAGGAATTGAACTGCTTACCAAAACCAAACAAACACTTAAAACAGTACTGTGTACTTTGAACAGCTTAGGATAAATATTTTTCTGAAATAACCTTCTCACCTTTTTTCAGACATGTTTTGCTCTTTCAGTGGCCTTAGAAAACCACACTAGTGCTTGAATTACAATTAGCCTTCACCTTTCCTCACAGTCTCCAGTGTCAAAGTGTTTTTATTGCTATATTCAAACAACATCTGCATTTCTCCTCTGTTCAAGGTGAAGGATATTATGAGCCTGGAATAACAATATATATCAGCCAATTTTAAAATGCCTAACTCTAGAGGCCCTTGTTATCAGGGTGACATAAAGCAGTAGCAAATCATAAAATATTGAAATTATATGATTTGGTTTACTTTAACATTTTACTGTTTATGTAAAAACACATCACTTTCTAACATCCAAGTCAATTTTGTTGAGAGAGACTTGCTTTTATCTTCAGCGGTTGAGAAGACAGAGATGTTTGTGAAGCCAATTTTTCATACCAATTTGAAGGAGCGATCCACCTCAGTCCAACAGGAAAGCTATTTTGATCACAGAAAGTTTCTTTTTTTTTTTGCTTTGATTTTTCAATCTGCATATATGTAGAATATGTAGCAGTCTTAACAGAATGTTAGACGTTATTCATGAGTTGCCCTGTTGTCTTACAACTACATGTATACAGGGAGAAAGCTGCCATGGTTAGAAAAGCTAAGTTATTCCATGTGCTAATTGCTAATTAAAGTTCTTTGAGTGTCAGCATTACATGTTCCTGAGTTCATTTCAGTAAAACAGTCCTGGAGTGAAAAGTTGCCTCTGTTCATGAAAAATGAATGACAGTTCACAACAGACAACTGAATAGCTTTATTTTATTTAATAGCTTTATTGTTGCAGCTTTTTAAACCATTTTTAATTAATGTTACTTTCTGGAAATGTTATGCCCTGGGCCACTCTATTTAAGCAGTCTTGGGTTGAAACTTAGCACCTCTGCAGTTTATAGTTAATTTGATGTGAAAACATAATTTTACTTTGATATTATTAATTTGCAAAGTAAAATAGAAGATTTGGGCACAAATTACATCTGCATAGCTGATAACACCTGTTTATATCAGTTTATGCAACATATGATGCCAAGAGCTAGAAAAAATATATCCTGAATATTTACATTTGGATATCAGAAATGTTATTGAACCCACTGAATAAAATGAATTAGAGCCTTCCATGAAAGTAAAAAAAAACACCTGTCACATTTTAAGTCCTCCCACACATTATGAACACAAGTAAAACAAGTAATTCAAAGTTAGTCAGCTCAAACATCTTCCTGCATGGTCTTTCTCCAGCACTTGTTTACAGAGCACCCAGGGGATTACAGAAGATCAGCCAGGAATTCAGCAGGAAGCAACAGGAGAGAAGTGTCCTCGTATATAATTATCAGCTTGGCTCAATGAGGGACCAGAAAACGCCCTGCAGATTTGTGTACAATAAAGGAATAGAACATCAAAGACACTAAGCCTAAACTAGGTTGGGTGCCAACAGCGCTGGGAGGATGTTAAGGACAATGTTTGAAGATGTGTGTGTGAAAAGTGTGCCTGTGTAGATAAGCCGCGGGGGCATGATGTTTTGCTTCTAGAGTTTTGTGGAAACAACAATTAATACTCATGAAAAGTAAGCATGAGTGAGCACGTAGAAATGCAAGTTAATTCCTCCATTCTTTGTGCAAGATCTCAGCAATAGCATCAAAACAACAACAGCGGCTCCACAGTGATGGTAGACAGACTGTCCCTGAGGTAGGTCGAAACAGAGAGAGCTCACTCTAGCATCTCAAACAGCTCTGTGATCACTTGAGAAGAAGAACGCTTAAACAGTCACAAAGCACACTCCCAACACTGGTAAAAAATCATCACAGCCCCGCTTCTTAGGCTTTGTCAGCAAAGTTAGAGTCTGACCAATGTTGGCCGCTGCCTTAATGACACTATCATAGAGAGCAGGAAGACGGGGATGGGAAATGGAAGAGACAAAAGTGCTGAAGTCCCCTTCAACTGGCAGAGCAGGGGTGATGCTTGAAGGAAAAAATGCCTAGCTGATAGTTTCTGAAAGCTGGGGCTGTTGATAGATGGAGGAAGAAAGGGAAGGAGACGGGGACAACAAGAGGGGTGACACATGAAAAGGCAAAAGCTGTTCTTAAGAAAGAATGGACAGAAGACACAGTCAAGCTTGAAAGCTCAGGAGTGGACAGAGACAGATGGAAAAGGGATGTAAGAAAGTTAGAGCAGTTCCTTCAGTGCTCAGGTGATAGGTGACTGAGTTCCTCCCTGTTTATGGAGTAGTCATGATCATTTTACCACAACTGTTGCCTCATTCTTTGAAGGATATATTTTTATAATTTCCTGTAAATAAACAAATGTTTCTTCAAGAAATGATCTGATGGGATGCTGGAAAATATTACTGCTGTGTTCAAGTTGTGCAAAAAGGAGCTGAACTGTCAACAAAGTTATTCAAGACTAAAACGCTCTACCTCAAATGAAATATCTATCTCAGTGCAACACATCGCCAACAAACAAACAGTAGTTAGCACAGATGTTCCCAAAACATCAAAAGTATCATTAGTCCTTATTTCTAAAAATGATTTATTCAAAGAAGCTCTATGAATGATCAGGGCTACTTTGCACCACTCTGATAGTTGAAGAATCTGAAAAACAGATTAAAAACAAATATCTTTATTGTTGAGCTCACAGCCCTATTTGTTTAATGATTTTGAAGTAAAAAGGGTGTTTGGGTGTAGAATATTGCTCATTAGGATGATATGTGCTTTTCGATTAAATGCTATTAATTAATTATAGGTCCTGCACTAACTTGATTAAAAATGTAAATGGAGTCTCCCTACTGTGAAAATTAATGTTCTAGAAAATCATGACAGTTTGTTTGTGACCAGAAGTCTTTACAAGTCTCTTCTCTGTCTAGGTTTATACAGGTGTTCTGTGACGGGTTTAGAGATTTGTTAGAGAGCTAAAGGAAACAAATTGCAGCACAGCAGACAGGTTAGGGGCAGGGTTGTGGAAAAGTTTAAACAGTTATAAAACAAAATTCAATCTGAGAACAGGACAACTACCAGTTACCCACATGGGCTGCATGGATGAGTTTTGACAAAAAGCCCAAATCATGTTGACAGATCCAACATTATCTGGTCAGATAGGAACAAAATGTATGCATGGTGGAAAATGTACTCTTCAGAACTGAACCCCCTGAACACACTGTGCCAACTGGTGAAGTACATTGGTAGGAGTGTCATGAGGTGGGGATGCTGGTTTTCTTAAAGGTTTTTGTGGCACAATGGCATTATGATAAGCACCTGGACAGGAAGAATAGCAGAAAGAGAAGGAGAAGGTATAGGCCGGGAATGGAACTGGAGACATCTGTAGTCTCTGCACTTGGTGGGCCTGCCCTACCATTGAGCCGTGTGGCACCGTATGGTGCCGTGTGGCGCCATGAGGCGCCGTGACAACACTACAGCTGCTCAGATTGGAGACTGAATGGAACTAAATCCATGGCAGTCCTGGAAGAAAATCTTGGGGCATTGATTTGCCTCCAGCAAGACACTAACCCTATGCTTGCAAGCAGGGCTAGACTGGAGTGGCTTCTGAGCGACGATAAAATAACAGAACAGACTTATGACTGCACAACAAAGTTACAGGGTGACAATGATAAAACAAACAGCATTAACAGCCAGTCTATCAGCTGTTTCTGCTTGTTTCTGTTCCATTTACACCATAAATATGCCTCACTGTTTATAATTTCTGTAATTCAGTTTCAGTTTCTGAAGAGGATCTTAAGGCCCACACTTGATAAATGGCCCGAAGTCAGATCCTGACCCCGACTTTTGGGAATCACTGGTTTAGATGAAAGCATATACTTATTTTAAATGGCCCAGTCAAAGACCAGAGCGACAGTATTTGTAATTTGAATAATTTGCTGGGTAATTACATTTAAATACATTGTAATGTTCAGTACAACAGTAACTTTCCTTGCAGAATCTAATTTAGTTTTTTGGTAAAAAGTGTTTAATTTAAAATATGAGTTAAAAAAAACAATTACTTATTATATTACAGTATTCAGTGTTACTATCAGGTTAGCACTGAAATAGGCCCACCCCAGACAAGATAACACAGTGGACTTAGATTTTGTGGTAACACTTTATTTGAAGGGGGGTGAATAAGACTGACATGACACTTTCATTAACATGACATAACACCTGTCATGAACATTAAATAAGCCTTCATGAATATTTATGACTGTTGTCATAAAGCGTCATTCAGTAAATTATGACACTTTTAATACAAAATTGACATCATTGAAAATGTCTTCGTTATGACAACTTGTTATTAACTTAGACAAAATTGTCTTTGTTATGAGAACTTGACATTAACCAAGAAATCATTGCTGATATAAATTTGTTAGAAAAGTATTACTGATTGCACTTTAAAAATTAGGTAACTTTATGTTATTAAAGGTAAAGTTTAAACAGTAATGATTTCTTGGTTAATGTCAAGTTGTCATAACAAAGACATTTTGAATAATGTCAACTTTGTATTAAAAGTGTCATAATTTACTGAATGACGCTTTATGACAACAGTCATAAATATTCATGAAGGCTTATTCATGTTCATGACAGGTGTTATGTCATGTTAATGAAAGTGTCATGTCAGTCTTATTCAACCCCCTTCAAATAAAGTGTTACCGATTTTGTTTCTAAATAAAAATTATCAATTTGAAGCCATCAGCATCGAATGATCTGATTCACATTTCCTAGTGAAAGACAAAGAGTGACAATTGACTTTAGTAGGCAAACATGCTGAAATTTTATTTTTTGCTGCTTCATCTAACAAGTATGTCTCTGTATTTATGCGTACCTGTCAACTGTCCAGGAAGTCACATTGTGTGGGACGTCAACTGTGTGGGTCTTCCAGGGCCCATTCGGCAGCTCCTTCAGCTGCAAAGTGAAGTACCTCAGAGGAGAGGAGCCTGAGCCACCAATTACCCAGTAGACACAGAGTCGGCGAGCCTTCACCTCACCCTGAGGAACAGAAAGCTTCCTGGGCGGTTGGGGGCGTTCTGCAAGTGAGGTGTGGAAGGGATGCAGAGAAATGAGGGGCATGGAGAAGTAGTAAAAATGAGAAATAGTCATAAATATGTTCCCTTCAATGCATTTTTGCAACATTTTAGGAAAATGTAGATATTCAAAAGTATTTTAACCATAGCAAATTGTCGGGACAGGTTTTTAATCTGGAATTTTCTTCGTAATTATTTTTATTTGAGGAAGTCACCCTTTGTGAGTACCAGTCAATGGCAGTCAAAGTGTTAATTTGTATCAGCTCTTACTACCTAGTTTGTGGTTACTGACCTGAGAATATAAACATGGAGCAAATTTACAGTTTTTAAAAATGAACTGCCATAAAGCCTTTTAATTGGGGAAAAACCTCTGCATTTCCCATTATATTAAATAATAATAATTGACTTAAAATGGCTACATAGCAATATACAGTACCTATAGAATTTTCTATATATAATTGGCTTTCAGAACTTTTATGAAGCTTCATCACAATAATTAAAAAGTTAATATATTTCAAGAACTTAGTAAAATTAATATATATAAACTAGATTCATTACAAACAAAGTAATATATTTCAGATGCTAATTCTGGAAAGTTTGATAGTAATGCCTCAGTGAATGAAAATCCAAACTTGTGTTTCTTAGAAACAAAGAATATTAGAATATCTACAATATAAATTGACCTTTATGATTATGGCATAACTTATGCAATCATGGGTAACCAAGAACATAGCATCATCAGAAGCATCTTACAGGCTGAACTGTTGCTCAATGCTTCAGAGTCCTCCTTTCCGATTAAATTCAGTTTTGCATTGTATTTACAAATCTTTTTTTCAATTTTTGCTAAACTGTTTAGATGTGCCTGTAAACTCTTCTAATCTTTTACTTTATTGTTTTTCTTACAAGGGGAAGGAGGTTTATCCCCGTAGTTTGTTCTTCAAATAGCCTTGACATCTGTACATGTGGGTTGCAGTGCTCTACAAACATTTGCAACCGACTTTGATATTTTTCACATCTTGTCAAATTAACTATTTAAAACTATTTAAATGATTATTTTATTTGGATTTTTTTGTTTACTAGTAAAACAAAAAATGTTTTACTAGTAAAGAAAGTGGTGGCAGCATCATGCCTTAAAGATGAGTTTTCTATGAATTTGATAGGAACATAGAGTTAAAACTGCATTCTGGTAAATCCAAAAATATTCTAGGAAAATAAAGAAACTGTTACATACAGCTCAGGTCTCAATCTAGATAACCTAAAAGATGCCTTCCATTCCTGCTGACTGAGCTAGAGCTATTTAAACAAAGAAGCCAATAAACAACAATTTCAGGTTATGGCCATTTTCCTCATATCTGGCAGGTGTAACTGCAGAAAAGAAAGCTTTACATAGGACTGACCTGGGAATTTTATTTGTAAGAAATTTAAGAAAACAATAAATCCTTTCCTCCCAATTCATATCTAAGCTCTAATTTATATAAACAATCACATAAAATCCTAAGAATATATAGTGAAGTTTGTGTTTGTACAGTGAAAACGTTCATGGGGTGTGAATACTTTCACAAGAAGCTTTATATGTCTATCAGTGTGTGCTACAGTGGATAAAGGTTTATGTGAACCACCACATTTAATTACTTCAGCATCAAAATAGCCACGCAAACATGTGTGCGTGTGTGTGTGTTTTTGTCCTTGGTATTCAATTACAAGATGATGGCTCTTGGAGTTGCCCTCTCTGTACAGCCATGTTAAGTGATGAGTTGACCTCAACACAAACTCAACACACAAGTAGAAACACACCTGCAGGCTCAACTGTCTCATTTTGGGGGGCATTGACCTATCGCTTGAGTCTAGAAATAAAAACATTATTGATGATCTCTAAAATTTAATTAATCTACATTTACTTTGTGGAAATAAACTGATCACAGTCTAACACATGTTGACAGCTACATAGTGCTCAGTCTCCTACACTCAGCCTTATCACAAGTAATTTGGCTCAAATGTGTTTGTCTTCTTCTTTCCCCCACACAGCACCGTTCTCCAGTCCCATCAAAATTGGACTATTGTCTACCACCTTTCTGATACCATCTTCTTCTGAATGCCGGTTGTCCTTTTGTTCTGATTCACAGTTAAGATTTTGTCTGATAATAAACTCATAATTGTGAGAACAACTGGGGCTCTGTCATCACGAGTACTTCTGCTGCAGTGAAAATGGGAGGACAAGCGAAGAAAACAGAGGCAGAGATTAAGCAGAACTTTTTATTCTGTCTGTTGCCTTGTTGGTGATCAGCCTGAAAAGACAAATACCACACTAATTAAGCTCTGTGGGAAGAATTACAGCTCCCTGCCAAATGTATGTGACGTCATATTCACACACAACTCGGGTTTTTTTTTTTTTATTACATGGAATTTATTTGCTTTCCTTGGGATCGTCCTACAGAAAGGCCTATTTGACTTTTCTGTCTTTCTCAGTACAGGAAGAAGCCATTCTGTGACTGAAGTGGAACAGAGAATGACTATATCCTATTATCAAGAAATCCTGATGATACATTGAATGTTACATTGTATGTCCAATTAAAATGAACTACATATAATAGTATCTTTGAAAATATTATCATGATTTCAAAAATTTACAAACTTTCTTTAAATTGTTGTACTTAGATGGTTTTGTTGGTTTTTGTTAGACCTAGCTTGACAGAGACTGTGCTGCTGAACTGGCAGGAGGATCAGAAATGGATTGTCTTAAAGTCTCTTTGCTGAAAGTTATTGAAAAAGTTATTCGATAAACTAGAGAAAATGCAAAGATGTATAAACTTTCTGATAAAACAAACAACATATACTGAAGCAGATTTATGTTCTGTTTAATAACTTCTGAATTAAAACAAACTGCTTTATTTACTACTTTTACTTGTAAGTTACAGAAAGAATCTCTTCTGACTTTCAGGCTGTCAGCGGTCATTTTTTGGCAAAGTGAAAATATTTTCAGTCTCAGGTTTTTAGAAACTGAACAGCAGGAGAATAACAGTCAGAGATAAACATAATATATCTCACCACAGGAACAGGCTGTCATACTCCTTTTTTTAGTCTGTGTTTTTCAGAAATCATCTTACTGTTTTTGTTTACACTTTGCCATGAGACCACCGAGTGCCAAGATTAGATGAAATGTTACTGGGAATAACAGCATGTTTTCTGCCCTAAAATCATAATTGCCATAATTGCAAAATAATGACAGAAGTGTTGATGAGAAATAATTACTGTGGTTTACAAAATAAGAGATAGCATACTGATGTGGTTCCATGTCTGTTTTTTCTTTTCACTTTAATTTTTAATAAAGTAATGGAAGCAGCAAGACTGTTGGCAAGGGAGACGCATAATCCCCTCTTAAGCAAGAGAGAAATTAATTTGGAGTTGTTCAGACTCCCCAGGTTATATTTTTTACATTTCTAACTCTCAATGCAACTCTACAGGAGACCTGGTATCTGGTGGGCTAAATAATTCACAATTCTGTCCACAGGAGTCTATAAATGTCATTTTGTCTTGTTCTGTACTTCTTAAATTCTCCTCTACTCTTAAAAGGTCATATTTTCATTTGAGATAACTTTTAGTGGCCTGTAACAATGGCACATGTATGTTCATCTACAAACTGCTTGTTGCTGAGGAGCTAAAAACCTCAATTTCATTTATGCAGATTTCACTTGCTGTTCTTTCTCTGACCTCAGTTTCTGTGAATATATTACATAAGCTGTGATGTTAAATACATAATTCTGTGTAAGGATGCAGAAAACATCCATCACACGCTTATTTTTGTAAATTGGATCTTTTCGTCATCACTCAATATACAATCACTGCCATTGATCATATTAAATTTCATTTTCTGTAGATGTTCTAATCATGCATTGTGTCTGTCTGTCTGCCTATCTGTCTGTCTGTTTCCAGCAGGCATTGGGCCAGAGGTCAGCATTTCATCATAAGGCAACAAAAAGATATGCAGGATGGGAAACCATGCACCAACTGATAAGTTGAAATAATTTAAACAAATACTAATCTAACTTAGAATTTTGGAATGTGGGAGGAGGCCTGAGTACCTGCATATGTCCCAGTACTCTGGGGACAACATTCAAACTCCATGCAGAAAGACCCTTGGCCAGCATTTAAACCTAGGACCTTCTTGGAAACAATGCTACTAAGTCTGTCGCCCTGCAGCCTATGTTGCACTTTAGACACTTCTAAAACTTGAGTTATTGTACAGTCTTTTATGTACTGGCAAAATAAGTTATGATAGGTATGTAAATGATTCACAGCTCTACATTATACTGTCAACAAGTCATTATGGACCCATTCAAGAACTGAGCAAATGGTCTGAAAAACATCGGTGTGGATGTGCCATAACTTTCTCCAACCGAATAGAAACAAAACAAAGGAATTATCTTTGTTGAACAATCCAGAGTCAGCAAACAGCTTCAGTTATTACAGCTAGAAACTAGAAATCAGACATGAAATCTGGGAGTAGTGATGGACTCTGACCTGAACATTCAGAGCCACATAAAGACAGTTACAAAGTCGGCCTCCTATCACCTGAAGAACATTTCTAGGTCAAAGGACTAATGTCCCAGCAAGATCTAGACAAACTCACCCATGTGTTTATCTTTAGTCAAACTGATTACTGAAAGTATCTTCACAGGTTATTTTCTGCAGCTAATATGTGTAGTCTGTTTAAAATAAACTATGATATCTTTGGTGCCGTTTGTCTGTGTAGATGTGAACAAAATATCTGTACTAAAACTGGAGGAAGTGGTCTCGGTAAGGTTCCTAACTGACTTGGTATCAACAAATATTACATTTCAGGTTTTAATGAAACATGCTTATTATAGAGAATGCTATGTTATGTTTATCCCTCTGAGAGATATATTGCCGAGCTAATATTTGCAGTGGTAAATAACTAACATACAGCTTTAGCAAGTCAGCTGTGTTTTAAAGCACAGTCAAAAAGACTATGATGAGGAATATTTCCAACTGGAAATTCTTCTAAGCAAGGGAAACCTGTAGTAGTGTTCATCTAGGTTGATGACTGGCAAACGTCAGTCTGGAACTTCAGATGGGAGGACAATTAAAGAGATTTAAATGTAGTAGCAGAATGATGCAAAATTTATACATTTTTCAGGCATTCAACACATTTTAAAACAGACTGTACTAAGATTTAATTACAAACACACACAAATAAAATATCATTTAGAGATTTATCTTACTTCAGGTTGTGATTAGATTTTTGTCAAAAAGTGGGGGAGTAAAAATATTTTCAACGCCACTTTCAAAAACAGGTTGCTGTTTCTCCATTTGCTCAGTCACTCAATTCTTCAATATAACTGTGTTATAAACTTTTTACAAATTCTACATGACATATTTGCACAATAAAACTGCAGTAACATTAATAGTTAACAGTAAACACTTTTTTGTTTCATCAAAACAAAATAAACACGCTGATTTTTTGAATTGGACCTTTTGACATGAGTTCAATCACTGATTTTTACCATATTAAATTACATTTTATGGAGATGTTCTAATTGTGCCTTACCTTAGTAAACACACACGCATCCATGCACATACACACACGAATGTGCACACACACAGAACACACTTTTGTATCTTCACAGAAAACTAAGTTGTTTTCTTTAAAATCTTGCAAAAACTACAAACAACAACATCAGCAAACCATCAACCACATACTGTTCACTGCAAACATAGCAGCAGAAATGTCCCTGTGGCTTTGTTTTATTTCCCACAGCTGATATTTTGACTCAGTGCAGAAATAAAAGCCCAGAAACAGCTAATAGCATTCATTATAATCCTGTTTCAGTTCAGAGCTCCATCAGTGAGACTATGTGTGCTGGGCTCTGAACCTGGCATGTACAGACAGAGTATCTAGAATGGTGCTATCATTAAGAAGTACCTTTGGACCAAGCTCAGCTGTAGAGTGGTATTCCCTCTTTCCTCTGGTAAAGTTCACATTTGTTGCCCCTCTGTCTCTTGCTCACCTTCCTTATAAATACAACTTCGACTTTGACACTTCTTAGAAGATTCTTTTTGTCTCTCCAGGATTCAAAACTTGAATTAATCATTTGTAGGAGGTGATCTTTTGTCAGGGAGGCAGGTCAGATTTTATTACTGATAGTGTTGGTTTCACTTGCTCGGATACCTCAGAAAGTTTGATTCATAATTCAGAAAATAGTCAAATAACTTCAATAAATGAACCAGAGTGCTGATACGGATACTGCTTCAGAGTATGTGTTCTTTACCTCTGCGTTCAGTGGTAACTACCAGGGCTTCCTGCCGCTCGCCCCAGCCCACGGCAGTGCGAGCTGTGAGGCAAAACACGTAGGTGTGTTCAGAGGAGAGGCCTGTGACAGTAAACTGGTGAGCATTGGAGCCCACTTCCACAGTGGTCCACCGCAGAGGGTCCCTGCTGTAAAGGCAGTACGATATTTGGTAGCCTAGTGAAAAGTGGAGGAAAAGAGAAAAAAATAATTATTTGGTGTTGAATTCTGTGTTTGTACCCACAAGAACTAAAATTGTCTAAATATGAAATTATGACAGCACTGCTATCATGCTACCTTCCAAATTATTTTTTCAATTTACGGGTAAAAATGTTCAAAAAAAGACTTAAAATCAATAGTTTTTATAGAGATTTGGTGACTAGAAGATGCCACTGTAACTACTGCTGTAAGTGTTTTAAAAATTCACAAAAATAAAGGGAAAACTAAAATAACACATTCTAAATCTTAATTCTAGATCTTAATTACCTAAATATTGTCAGTTAAAAACTTTATTATTAACACAGTGGAATTGACTGAGAAGGAAATAACACAAAAAATATCAATATAAATAAAAATTATTACACCATGGAGAACTGGATTTGGATTCACTCAATATGAAAGTGGAACATAACATAACAGGCTGGTTCAGCGTCAGTGAATGTTCCTTAAGACATTTCTAAATGAGGCTCAGTAGTGTGTGTGACCTCCGGAACTCGTCTCCTCCCAACAACTCCTGGGCGTACTGCTGATGAGACAGCGGATGTTCTCCTGAGGGATCTCTTGCTAGACATGGATTAGAGCACCAGTTAGCTCCTGAACAGTCTGTGCTGTGATGTGGCGTTAGTGAATTGACCAAAACATGATGTTCCAGATGTGCTAAATTGGATTCAGGTCAGGGGAACGGGCAGGCCAGTCCATAAAATCAGTGCCCTCATCAGGCAGGAAGTGCTGACACACTTCAGCCACATAATGCCTAGTATTGTCAGAAGGAATTCAGGCCCCACTACACCAGCATATGGTCTCACAGTGGGTCTGAGGATTTCATCCCGGTACCTTATGGCAGTTAGGACATCTCTGACTAACACAGGGAGGGCTGTGTGGCCATTTAAAGAAATGCCTCCCCACACCATGACTGACCCACCACCATGCTGGAGGATGTTGCAGGCAGTGTAACGCTCTCCACAGTGTCTCAAGACTCCGTCAAGTTTGTCACATCTTCTCAGTGTGAACCTGCTGTCATCTGTTTAGAGCACAGGGAGAAATTCATGGTCTTGGTATTCTCTAGCAAAGGCCAATTGTCCTGCATGGTATTGGGCTGTAAGGACACACCCTATATGAGGATATTGGGTCCTCATGCCACCCTGATGGAGTCTGTTTCTGACAGTTTGAGTAGAAACATGCACATTAGTAGCCTGCTGGAGGTCATTTTGTAGGGCCCCCCTGGCAGTGGACCTGCTGTTCAGGTCCACTGCCAGGACGAGGTAGCAATCCTGCTGCTGGGTTGTAGGCCTCCTACGGCCCCATTCATCTCTCCTGATTTATTGGCCTGTCTCCTGGTTCCTAATCCATTCTCTGGACACTGTGCTGAGAGACACAGCAAATATCCTTGCCACCACTCACATTGATGTTCGGTCTAGGATTAGTTGCACTTCTTAGTCAATTTCAGTGGGCTGTAAAATATACCACACGATGCTTTAATGCGTGACAAACACTGACATAATGAAAAGGTGAGTAAAATTTCCACCAGAAAGGACAAGAACAGAGAAATGATCTGTGGTCACCACCTGCAGAATCACTCTTTATAGGGGCTGTCTTGCTAATTGTGTCAGGATTTAGATTTTTCTGAGTTGTCTGTATGTTTAGTTTAGGTTTCTCTGTCTTATTTTGATCCTGTTCCCTGTGAGTCCTGTCTCCTCCCTAATTGTTTCCCAGGTGTGTCTAGTTCCCTAATTACTCCCTGTGTATTTAAGTCCACCTGTTGTCTTTGTCTGTTGTCGGATCGTAGTCGTGTCACCCTGTCTTGTCTTTGGTCTGTTGTCTCGTCGTCTCAGTTGAACAGGTTAAGTCCTGTGACGGCGTCAACTCCCTTCGTCAGTTTTTTCCTGTACTGTTGCTACCGGTGCCGAGCCTAGCCTCCGCTCTACCGCGCTGCATATTCCTTGGACTGTATGAGCTGCCTATTCGCTATTAAAGTCATCGTCATCCTACTTCCTGGTTCCTCGCCTGCTGCATTTGGGTCCGAATTCACATCACATCATGACAAATTGCCTCTCATTTCCACCGGTTGTGTGTTCCATTTGCACAGTAGCAGGTGAATAAGTGTTACTACCTAACTGGTGACATTGATTCCACAAAGGTGTGACTGACTGGGAGTTATATTGTTCTGTTTAGGTGTGCCCTTCATTTTTTGAGCAGTGTATATATGTAATCAATCTGTTCCCTTATCTTCACAGTTACACATTATTTTGTGTTGGGCTGCAATTTAAAATTCCAACACTGAAGTGAGTGGATGTAAGGTGACAAAATGGAACAGAAGTTCTCGGGCTGGAAGCATTTTTGCAGGACGTATTTGTCAGGGGTGCCAATAAACCTGTGTGGTGCTTTATTTTCTCAGTCTGAAATTCTGTGACACATGTAGCCTGTTCCCACTGAAGACACAAAAGTCATGCTTTTGATACCGAACTCCACTCCAGGACCGCAGCTTCATGCAATTTCACACACACACACACACACACACACACACACACACACGCACACACACACGCGCACACACACGCATACACACTTGCTTCCAGTGGCATTATATAAACATACAGCCTCCTGTCTGTATCCTTGGCAGTGACCCATGGTGTACACCGCATGTGTGTGTTTCTCAGTCTCCAGTGCAGTAAGTCATGTAATAATGCTAACACACCCCACATCACAAGCACCCACACACTAACCAGTGATCCCCATCCAAGCTTTCCACAGGCCACCAGCCACTCACAAAGACCTATATTACTGGGATTGTAATGGGTAGCAAATACAGCCTTCCTACACACTGTCCCCCTGCACACTGTGCAGAAACACACAAATAGGCTGATGTGATTAGGTCACAGTGTGGCTGTCAAGATAATACTCTGCTCAGAGGCACCTAATCTGGTTGAGTGAGTGATAATCTCATCAGATAGTCTGATTGTATGTTAATGTGAGTTCTGCATGTGGAAGACTATAGGATAGCAGCCAGATCAACAGTCAAATCTAATCATCTAGGTCAGGGCACGGTTTTGTTCTGGGCAAAATATTTTTAGGATATTGAAGCGTTGGAGGTAGATGAGGCCAAATCCTGGTTGTGTAAAGTGATTGAGTCTTATATTATTCTTCTTGCTGTTGCCTGCATTATCCTTTTTGATTTTTATAAAAACTTGCAGCTCTTTTCAAACATATTATATGCATCATATGCATTACAGGTATAATTATTTGGTGTAAGGAAAGATGTTTCATACGCTGATCAATTTTGAGTTGATGTTTTTCACACTTCATTCTGAAATGCCACTTAAAATGAGTACAAAACACCCCACATCATGATGCTGCCTCAATCATCTGCCGTTTTACTGCTGGGTAGTATTGAATTAGAATAGAAAGGGTAAAAACGTATTTTAAAAAATGATATATCCACTTGAAATTGTGTATAACATTCCCACAGAGATTCTCAGGGAACATAGATGGTGTTCTGCATTTCTCCAAATCAGACTCCACAACTTTTCTTTTCATTGTTTGTCTTTTATCTGCCTTCTGCTTTAAACATTTCCTGAGAACCCACAGAGAAATGAGGCGGTCAAACAAACACGAAGGAAACCAGTGCACAACAGTTGTTTCTATCTGCATTGGCACACACACAATGCACTCAACAAGAACACAGCAGGATTGTGTGTTTGTGTTTGGTCGGTGTGATGGAGAAAGAGGGATTTGCCCTCCCACTCATCCCACTGTCACAGGGAGGTGTCGTACTAAATGTCCTCCCCTCCAACAGAATGCAGTCACACATCACTCAAACTGTCCTGCTAAACTCCCTTCCCTGCTGAGAGGACAAATACCTCCATTTCCTGCTCAGCATTCACACTCATACTATCGTCCCCTTTAATCTCTATACTTCTCCTTCCTGCCTTTCTTTTGCCTTCTTTTTAGTGTCACTAACTCTGCAGCTCAACAAATCCGGTGAAATGTACTTATAGTGTCATTTGTGATATGCCATATATGTCATATGTCATATCACAGTCATATGTGATTCTATACACATTTGGAAAAGGATTTGGAAAAGGAACTCAAATAACCCTTTTCACACATACTGGTTTCATAATTTAAAAACCAGAACACTATAGCATGCATTCACCCACAAACTTCACTAGTGGAGTGAACTGAAAGATGAAGACTGAACAAGCTCTTTGTTATCTTATGACTTTTACTTGCCCACTTCCCCTGAAGTAGGGGTGCACAGTGATATGTGATTCTGTGTTATTTTGTGAGCATCTCTGGAAATTTTTTCTTTTCTTTTTTTTACCTAAAATGATGCCGTTGGGAAATGCAGGAGGCTGCCAGACCACCCGAACCGATGTCAGTCGAACCTCTGGAAACATCATACGGACTGGGGGACCTGGGACTGGAAACAAAAACAGGAAAGATTGTTGGCAGCAGAATAAATGTGTATTAATACAAAGGTTAAAAAACAGCAGAATGAATAACTACAAGGTAAACGAGTCGTGTAACAAAAATATACTGAAGGCATCTAACTCCAAAGCTCCAATGTCAACCCAACTATCAAGCATGGTGGTAAGCAGACTGGCATTAAGATTCTACAACAACCTCAATCTCAGCTAAATTTGTACACTAAGCTTAAGAGCCAGGTCAATGGTGAGAAAACAACCAGTTTAAATAAACTCTGCCGATTGTGAACGAAAGAGTGGTCACCTATCCAGTTGGAGGTCTTACAGGACCTTGCTCATGGAAACAGAAAGAGCTGGGATTTACTACAACTTGTTGAAGGACAATTTCTAAAGCGTTAGTGGAGAAGTATGTATATATGGAAAGTGGTAAATGGCTGTGTACTTGTACAGTGCTTTATCACGTCCAGAGGATCCCAGGCTCTTCACACTACAGTCATTCACCCATTCACACACACACTCACACACTGATGGTGGCAAGCTACTGCCCCAGGGTAGCCACAGCTGCCTTGGGGCAGTCTGACAGAGTTTGTATGTGTCAACATCATTTTATCTTAATGGAAAAAGTTAGGTATAACAAAGTGCTGTTTTATGCTTTTATGATAAGAACCCGGTTTATCCAGAGGTTTTTACTGACTTTGCTGCACAAAAATCAAGTTTTTACTTAATTTTCTGAATTTGGCTAAATATAACAAGCATTTTAAAAGAAAGTGACCCTAAATTCTGTTCTTATTACTGAGAATAAATTTGTTATATTGAGCCCCAAAGAATTTGAATACAAGATCCCTTTCTTTTAATATAGCAAACCCTGAAAATCTTTTTTATGTTTATGATCTACAAAGGAAGTTTTCTTCCTTTTCTACAAAAACTACAAAAAACAACAACAAAAAAACTGACTGCTTTATTTGTTTCATTTTAGATTTCTTTCTTTTTTTATTTGGCCCAGAAGTTTTGTTGAACTGACAACTTTGGCCCACATGACAAAAAGTTTGGACACCCCTAAGTTAAATGATCATTCCTTCCTGAATAAATTTAAATGCGTCGTTGCAAATCCCATGATGAATATACACACAACTCTCAGCTGCACTGTATGCTTAAAAGGAAAACTATACAGGGCAAAATAAGAAAAAGTAATTTCCCTTTAACTTTGTGCCCACTTTGACACTGCTGCAGATAAAAGTACATGTTCCACCTCAACAAATACATTTCAGCTCGAGTGTACACACATTCATAAGCCTGCTGTTGGTTTATGTGTCTGCGTGTGTGTGTGTGTGTGTGTGTGTGTGTGTGTGTGTGTGTGTGTGTGTGTGTGTGTGTGTGTGTGTGTGTCAGACAGAATGGAGGTTCATTATACATTGCTGGGAATTGACTTTGCCATTTTGTTTTATCCTGAAATGAGAAAAACTTTTCAAACGTGACTCTGCTTGACAGAGGATGATTGCTGGTGTGTGTGAGGGTGTATGTTGTGTTAGCCTTTCTGAACATGTGTGTGTTTGTGTGCATCGTGAAAGTGCCTGTAATGGTTATCAGGTCTCTACATTGGCAGCTACACATTATTAGGAGAAAATATCCACATATGTCTGTGATGACAGCTGAGGTGCAAAGGAGAAAAAAGACAGGAAGAGCTGTGAAGAGGAAGGAGATGTGCTGAAGAAACTTCTGGTCACAGGCCTGTAATTCCTACCATCTTCTTTAGTTCTGAGGAGGACAGGGCTGCTGGGAGGGCCGTCTCCAACCTGTGTGAACGCCAGCACTTGCAGTGCATACATTTTATATTTTTGGAGGGAACCCAGAAGCAGTGTTAGATTTCTGTCTCCTTGTACCACCTGAACACAAGGGGGAGTGTCTGAGTCTTTCTCATGGTACAACACCTGTGCAAAATGAGAGGAAAAACATTCATTAATAAAAGAAAAACATAAAGTCGGATGTATCCTAAGCTGCCAGCAATCTTAATTGATTAGGGATGTCATATACTTTGATGCCAAAAATAAGACATGGATAGTAGATAAATAGATACGGGAAGACCAAGCCATATACTATGTGCACAATTATTAGGCAAGTTTTAGATATATGACATTTTTATGCATATTTTCCAACTCTGAGCTCTATAGACTTGAATGCTTATTGAATATAAACATATTAGCTGCTGTATATTTGTTTAATGAGGGAGGGTGGGGCCTACGGAGATCAACATAAAGGTGTGCAGAATCATTAGGCAGCTTCTTTTCCACAGGCAACATGGGTCAAAAATGAGATCTGAAGACGGATTTTTCTAAGGTTTTATGGACTGATGAGATGAGAGTGACTGTTGATAAACCGGATGGATGATGAGCCCATGATGGATCAGTAATGGGCACAGAGCTCCACTTTGCATCAGATGACAGTAAGGTGGGGCACTGGTATCGGCTGGTATTATTAAAGATGAGCTAGTTGGACCTTTTCGGGTTAAAGATGGACTCAAAATCAACTCCCAAACCTACTGCCAGTTTTTAGAAGACACTATCTTCAAGCAGTGGTTCAGGAAAAAAATCTGCATGTTTTAAGAATACCATGATTTTTATGCAGGCAATGCTCCATTACATGCATCAAAGTACTCCACTATATGTCCAGCCAGTAAAGGCCTTAAAGATGAAAGAATAATGGAGTGGCCCTCACCAGACCTTAACCCCATTTAGAACTTCTGGGCCCTTCTTAAATGTGAGATGTACAGTGAAGGAAAACAGAACACATCTCTGAACAGTGTCTGGGAGGCTGTGGTTGTGGCTGCACAAAAATTAATCATCAACAGATCAACAAACTGATAGAATGGAAGGCTTATAACTTTTAGTGAAAAGAAGGGTGGCTATGTTGGTCACTGATTTATATTTAAATGTCAGAAACCTTTGTCAACTTTGAGTTCTATGTTTATTATTCTCACTTTAATGGAAAGATGGGAAAATGTTCAGTTTTAATTCAGTTGCATAATAATTCTGCACACTAGTTGCCCAATCATTGTACACACAGATATTGTCCTAAAAAGCCAAAATCTCTCACTTTTTCTTCATTAAATATTCAGGTTTGAGAGGTTATTTGACCGAGAGCAACATAGTTGCTCAACAATAAAATGAATCCTCAAAACTACAACTTGTGTAATAATTGTGCACATAGTGTAAAGTTATCTCGGCTTTGTTCTTGAGACTAAATCTGTGTGAAATAAATAATAGCATGAATCTTTCAGATAATAATCTGTGGTGCAATAATTATTATTACACTTGAAAAATGCAAGTCAGTACACAGTGTGAATTCATTGACAAGAACAGCTAGAATGAAAATCTGTCAGAAGCTGCTCTTTCTAGGTCGTCATCTCCCCGCTTTACAACTCACAAACTTGAGCAAGAAAATTTATCTTAAAACCACATGAGGTAAAAAAAAAAATATCATCTCAAAATTAAAGATGTAATAATGAAAAGATACAAGTCAGGTACAGCAGGGCATCAGGGACGACTATTCAACATTTAGCAGGGGGTGGAAGGTGTTAAAAGAACTGCTGCTGGCAACCACTTCCCATCTATTAACATGGTAGGCATGCAGCTAAGTGTGATCCACAGAAAGGAACACAGATATGAGGTATGATGAGCTTTGGGCATGTTTGACGATGACCTGGATTTTGTCAGAAAGAATAAAATGCATGAACAATGGACTCATTTACAGTCCTGAGAAAAAGCATTTGCCCCTTTAATGGTTTCTTGAGCTTTTGCGAAAAGTTAAATATTTCAGATTATAAAACCTGATACCAGACTAGGAAAGCCAAAATAAAAACAAAAAACAGTTTATAAAAGGTTTCCTAAACCACATTCTTAAGGTTGAGAGACCAAAAATGTCAACAAAGTCCCTATTTTGATCTAAAACTATCTCATGACTGAGAGTGTTTTCACATTCAAAGCTGAAAACATGTAGTCACTGAATAAATAAAGGCTCCCGTTTAGGTTCTAAAACACTAACCGTAATCAATATTTAACATTAAGAATAACTGTGGACTATTTTAAAACTCACAAAATGTCCAAACAAGATCATCATATATACAGTACAAAGAACTGTATATAATACAAATGATAGGGGATTCAATCTGTCATGATGTGCGGTGGTTGGAGGTGAGGAAGACGCCAGTGAACCCAGGTAGTCATGATGGTGAATGATGGTTTTAATAAAGAATCAGGAAAACAAATTCAAAATAACAGAAAGCACTGGGAGCAAACAGGCGAGGAATGAATGATATTAGACAAGGACCTGGCAAGAGACAAAGACAACAGGTGGACTTAAATACACCAGGAGGGTAATCAGGAAACTAGACACAGGACAGAGACTCAGAGGGAAACAGGACTAAACAGAAAATCTCAAAATAACTACACAGAAAAACACAGATCACAACACAATCAACTTTTTTGAGCATGACTATTAAAGGTTATCAAAATATTATTTTTCTGGAGATTTCAAGATGCCACAGAAGGAATAAGATTTTTTTGGCTAAAGCTAAAACAACAACAACAATAACAATAACAATAATAATAATAATAATAATAATAATAATAATAATAATAATAATACCATCTTTAAGCACTTCAGATAAAAGCATTTGAAAAAGTGGAACTGTCATATCTGCATTCCTAAACAGCCAACGATTGAGAGAGGAGCAGTACATAGGCAAAAACATTAGAATATCCTGAAAAGTTCAATATGCTTTGTCACTCATTTCAGAAAGGACAACTCATGTTATTCAGAACATGTGAAATATTTCAACCCTATATTTCTCGACATTATGATTATTCTGACTTACAGACCAAAATCCAGTATCTCAGAAAATTTGAATTAATACATACGATCGTTAAAACTGGATATTTTAAAGAGAAATGTCAGGATTCTAAAATATATGTTCAGTGCTCCTTTTGACCTCTGTGGATCATTGTGTCTGAGGTGGAATGAGGGGTTGGGGTTGATCGCTGCCTTTATGACATCTGCATTATTGGATCTGATGTCTCTCATCTTTCTCTTGACGATACTCCACAGACTCTCTATCTATGGGGTTCAGGTCAGGACAAACGGCAGGCCAATCCAGCACAGCAACACCATGGGCACTGAACCAAATTTTGGTAATGGTGGCAGAAGCATTTATGACTGAATATTTCCTGGTAGACTTGATATGACCCAGCAGATGCCACAGCACCCCATCATCTCTGACCATGGAAACTTCACACTGGACTTCTCTGTTGAATGTCGGTGCAAGTCGACCAGAGGCGAGTCAACCACAGTATCTGTGCACTCATAGTGAGGAACAGACTGCATAATGGAAAAGCTCACTACCTGGGGTAGAACCGAACTGCACATTAACCGGACAGGGAGCGAATTGCCAGTGGAAAAGCACCTTTAGAGGATCAGGAAACCTTAATTAGCTGATTAGGGTGTGGCACCATGGGTTTCAAGGATAAAAAAAAAAAAAAAAAAAA